ATCTATCTATCTATCTATCTATCTATCTATCTATCTATCTATCTATCTATCTTCTTACTATTCTAAGTGTGGTCCACAGACCAGAAGAGTAATGTAAAATTTGAACTTCTAACATATAGAATCAGGTTTTATGTCAAGATCAGCTATGAGTAAGGCAATTGGATGCTTTATATGTAAAATAATTTTTTAGAACCCTCTATGCTTTCTTTATTTTTCAGTGCCAGGGATTGAACTTAATACCTTAGGGATGCCAAAAAGTCCTCTACCACTGGGCTGTATCTCCAGTGTGAAGCTCTGTGCTCTATGACTCTTATGTACAGCCTTAAATGAAAACTGCATATATGCCAGGTGAGGGAGATGAGAAGCACCATCATGGGAATGGCTCAAACGTATCTTCCTGGTGAGTGGCACTGTCTTTTAGCTGGTATCCCTTGGTGTGATTCAACATGACAGCTAGATGCCAAAATGAGATCTTCCTCATTTCTCAGAAATGCAGCATTTAGAGAAGACACATATACAAAATTTTACTGGTGCTTTTTCTTATTGTAGTTCTAGAATGTAGATATATGTATATATATATATGCAAGAAAGCAAACATTATCAATGTGGCTAGACAAAACAATACCAGTAGGACAAAAACTCCAGTATTTAGATTCAGTTATTTATCTTTAGAGGAAAAGGTCCCATGGGTTCATTGTTCCTCTTCAGCTTTCTTAGCTTTAAGCTCCCAACATGTGCTTATATATTGAGACAAGCTGGAGCATAGTCTCAAGGGTAAAAATTATTGCCTTTCCTTCCTTCTTCCCAAATAACTAAATCTATCACATTATTTTCATCCTAATATCAACACAAAGGACAAAATTTGTGTATAATGTATAATAGATTTATATATTATGTGTAATACACTTATAAATATATAATAGATTTCTAAATTTAGGATAAAAGTAGCATGTATAGGAGTATGACGTTTTCCAAGAGTCTAATTACACCCAGGAATTATGTATTAAGATGTCTGAAGTTCTACACCATTCAAGCTAAGGGCTCCTTTTGGGAAGAATTATTAGCAGTGATCGACATAGGTGAGTGTTTGCAGTCCTTCAAGCTGAGGGACTCTGTGTCTCACCCTGAGGTACAGCCAACAGAAAAAAATCAATGGTCATATCCAGGCGCCATGCCAGGTACTGTCCATGTTACACAATGGCGCACAGCCTTTCCTTCATGGAGTCTACATGAACTCAGTCAAAGCGGTGATGAGGTCTTGAGTGCTGGGGATGACATGATGCTGAAGAGGCATGGCAGCCGGTCTCCCCTAGAAAGGCATGAAAGAGTCAGCGCACACATGTAATGTGCATGGTGGGTGAACTGAGGGTTAGCCAGGTGAACTGGAAGCACAGGAAGATGAGCCAGGCAGAGAATTAGCAGCCATGAGAGTGGGAGTGAGGAGATTGTGACTGCTGAGTCATGCATTGCTCTATAAGACATGTCTACGCAGTGGTCAGATGATAATGGGGAGGGAGGCAAGGGACAACTCTTGAGGAAAATTTTGTCTTTTGTGCCCTTAAAAATGTTTACTTTCATTTTAAAACCAGTGAGCATTTATGCAACGTTTAGCATGACAACGATCATCATGTTTACATCCCAGACAGCCAGAGAGTGAAGAAGTTGACAAGGGTAAGTGTGGAAGCAGGATAGTCCTTGCAACCATGAGCTATCAAACATCATGAATGTATGCACTGGTGTATACACAATAGGCCCATCAGCAGGCAGGCATGGATAGGGCTCCACCCCTCATCCCTAAACTATTTTGTCCTGATAGTTTCAGGGAAAGGACCATTATTGTCTTTGGTTGCTTACACACTGATGACTCCACACTCTGATAAATAGTTCCAATCCAGGGTCAGACAGCTAGCCCTCAAAAAATTAAATAACCCATAAAACAAAGCAAAGAGTCATGAATCTGTGAGAGGGGCAGGTGGTAACAAAATAAAGGTTTGGTGAGGGTGGGGAAGAAAGCAACCAGAATACATTATATACGTGAAACAAATTGTCAAAAATTTAAACTAATAAAAATAACTAAAAAGACAAAGAAAAAAGAAGTGGGGAGGAAATAAGGAAGCAGGGATAAGGAAGATAGAGGAAAAAAGTACAGAACCTGTGGGACTTTCTACATTGCTAGAGAAACAAAATTGTTAGAGAGAGAACATTCTTAGGATTCTGACTTGAGACTAGGTTTTTTTCACTCTGAAAAAAAGATGGAAGAGTGGGTTGGGAAAAGGCCAGAGGAAATCAAGTGTGGACATGAAGATGGCCCTGATACGCGCAGGAGCAGCTGCTCATTAGGCATTTGATGGCAGGAAGTGACGGCGGAGGTATGCACATGAAGCTCAGGTGACCATGGATGCCATGTGAACAATCTGAAGGCTGGAGCTCCAGCATCACAGGAGAAAAGTGCCCAGGGAAATGCTCCAGGAACCCGTGATATGGAGCACACTGTCAGAAAAAGAGAAAGAAGGGGCATAGCATCATCAGGAGAACTGGGGACCATAGAGCTAACCCTGAGTGTGTTTCAGATGGGAGAGAAGGTCAATGATGTTGCTTTCAATGCTAGTGGGCAAAAGTGTGCCAGGTGGCTGAGATGTAGTTATGGTGTATTTCTGATTGCAGCTTCAGCATTCAGGTATAAAGATGAGAGTAAATATTGTAGAATGCATTCATAGACCACATGACATAGGCACATATTGGCTTTAATTTGGATTGTAAGGAGATTTTCATTTTCTCTTAAAGATTGTAGATGCAGGGCACTACAGAAAGGAATCAAACTGTCATCTCTCAGTTCCTCCTCCTGGGCCTGCCCATTCTCCCAGAGCACCAGCATCTGTTCTATGCCCTGTTCCTGGCCATGTACCTCACCACTGTCCTGGGGAACCTGTTAATCATTGTCCTCATTCAACTGGACTCCCATCTCCACACACCTATGTACTTGTTTCTCAGCAACTTGTCCTTCTCTGACCTCTGCTTTTCCTCTGTCACAATGCCCAAGTTGCTGCAGAACATGCAGAGCCAAGATCTATCCATCTCCTATGCTGGCTGCCTGGCACAAATGTACTTTTTCCTGTTTTTTGCAGACCTTGAGAGCTTCCTTCTGGTAGCCATGGCTTATGACCGCTATGTGGCCATCTGCTTCCCCCTTCATTACAGCAGCATCATGAGCCCCAAGCTCTGTGGGAGTCTGGTGGTGCTGTCCTGGGTTCTGACCACATTCCATGCCATGCTGCACACCCTGCTCATGGCCAAATTGTCCTTCTGTGAGGACAACGTGATCCCCCACTTTTTCTGTGACATGTCTGCTCTGCTGAAGCTGTCCTGCTCTGACACACATGTTAATGAGTTGGTGATATTTGTCATGGGAGGCATCATTCTTGTCCTTCCGTTTGTGCTCATCACGGTGTCCTATGCACGAATTGTATCTTGCATTCTCAAGGTCCCTTCTGCTCGAGGTATCCGTAAAGCCTTCTCCACCTGTGGCTCCCACCTGTCTGTGGTCTATAGCCTGAGGAACAGAGACA